GGAGATGAAAACACAGGGCGACACAATTCCAAATCTTAGGAAGGGGCTTTCTCGTCGCAGTATTCGCTTTCTGCCAAGATAGGGAATGCGCCACTCTGCTGGAGGACGTCTTTTTACAGATTATTAAATAAAGCTGTATATGTCTCTTGTTAAAAAAAAAAAAGAATAAAAGTATTAAAAGCTAACATTACCCTCAAACAACAATTGGCAGTAAGCAGTTTATTAGTAACAACAGGATCCAGAAGTCAAATGGAGTAGTATTTAGAATAGGAAAAAAAACCTTTCAATTAGCTACCTTGAGGAGTGAGCATCAAGAATTTGGTTTATAATCTCCCAGACAGTGACTTAGATTTAAAACATCTTCAGCAATAGTTTTCCACTAACTTTGATGCACAACATAGCACTACTCAGTGATTGGCAAATTATTCAAATTACTTTAAATAACTAGTCACTATATGTAAGCTCTTTCAATTAACTTTATTGAATAGCCAAATTGATTAAATTAGCACAGTTCAAACGATTGCATGGGTTACAAATGACTTTTTTTTTACAGGAATAAAACAGTGAAAATTACAAACTGTAAAAAGGAAGACAAATCTTGTCTCTAACATTTTAGAGAAACAAGATTTAACACAGCACGTTGAAGATAACACATATTTGAATTTGAGAACAAGAATTTAATGTTACAATATTATACACTACTTTACAAAATTAAAATTTCTATATAAGGATTATATTTGTAATAGTTAACAAAATCTTGAAATCACATTTGGTGGTCCCCTAGATAATAGCTGTTTTGCATCTTTGATTAGAATAAATCTTTTATTCTAATTATTATAAAACAGTCTATTAGACAATACATTAAATTAAAACAATGAAATATATGCAAACTAAAATAAATGGTACAGCTTGAGTGAATATTAATGTCAGACTTACAGAAATGTTATTTTAAAAATCCTAGAAATTAGAAAAATAGAGTACTTTTTTATGGTATAATTGCCATGCTCAGATTTAAATACCAAGATTGCCCTTTGTCACTTTAGTAGTTGTAGATCTGTAGAAAATTCAAGGATCTTTCATAATTTACAACTACGATAAAAAAAATATGGCATAGTGTAAATATTAGTTGCTTTACATAAAAAAGTAATACAAGATGAGATAAGTGCCCTACTGCAAAACAAAAAAACACACACCCCCACCATGTTCAATATTGCAAAAAATAATTCTTAATTATCAATATCTCCAAAAGGTTCAATAATTGCCTCATTTTCCAGAGAACAAATAATGTGAATCCTAACTAAAGTTACGTTTTTTATGACTTGACTATTATAAAATTATTCTAGATTGCACATGTTACACAATATCTAAAATAAGTTTTTAAAGTAAATTTTTAAAAGCAAATTTGTGAAATATACTAACAAAGCATGTAGTAGTAACAACAGCCATACCCACTTAGGGATAAAGTGAGGCACAAGAAAGATTATTGTCCCTAGGAGCAAACTTTTCCCTCTGTAAGATTCTTTACAATTAAGAAAGGACTTACAAATATCAACATTTAAAATTCACATTAAGAAGAGAATTTTAGTTAAGAAACATCAGTGCATAATAATGACTCAGTTTCTTTAAAAGAGGGAAAATATAAATTTATTTTAATTTGCTACACTTTGAAAATTGCTTCCTAATAAATGAAGCAGCTTTCAAGAATATTTCCAGTTCAATGTACCACTTGCATACTGAAAATAAACTATAACACTGCTTAAGGGAGATGATATCTTTATAAAACACAAACAATTATTCTTGTCCGGCTGATAAACAGTAGTGTATACTCTAGTGGGACTTGCTTCTTCACTATCCCAAAACAACTCAGTTAAAGTCAGCTCATATTGCTGTAAACCTGATAGTTATTATTGTATTGGTGATCATATGAGACCAAGATTGTAAACACATTTTTCTAACCCATTAAAACAAAGAAACAAAAATCTTTTCATCAAGTATTACACATGAACGTCTTTAAGAAGTTCATACAAGACAAGATGAATTGGGAAAACTGGGCCAAACTCTTTTAAGATATTCTATCACAGCACTTTAAATATACAAATGTATAATTTACCTATTTGTAAACAAAATTCACTTAATGGTTCTGACTATAGTATTTATCTGGCTGAATCAAAAAAGCAGTCTCTTGAGCATGTTCAGAAATCAAGTTTCTCTTAAACTTCAATATACTGGATATATGTAATCTTAATATCCATCAAATCAAACAGCAGCATTCATGCTTTAATAAGGTTTACTATCCAAGAATAAACATCTTGTGAGCGGCTTTCAATTTAATTATTGAACTCCTTAGAAAAATGATCCTGATGCATTTGAGACAGCATTTAAAAATACTTTGATTTCATTCATATTCATTTCACCAATTTTAACACCTTTATTACATTTCACAGAGCAGACAGACAAAACCCACTCAAAGGATCATCTCCCTATTATCACTGCCAGTCCCCACGTATTTAATGAAGACAGCTCAGATTCTTTTCACTGCAGAAGATAGTGTGTCCAAGTCTTTTGCAGTCAATCAGAAAATAACTTAGTTTTCATTTAAATCAAGGTGATTTTGTTCAAGTATAGAGAATACTGACAGATTTTAAAGCGTGACAGTTATTTCTTCTTCTTAAGCTAGACCAGTTAGTTTACTCTAGTTTTAGTTTAGTTAAAAAACAGGTATGGGGGAATGGATTCTAATATACTATTTACTTACGAAAATTTTTTTTTAATTTAAGAAAGATCATTATCAACGGATTTATAATTTCCCTGCAACACTTAGTCTTGTGAGGTTTTAAATGTAGCAGCCAAAAATTCAGGAAAAAAAAAGAGAAATATATATTTGGAACACAGAAGTCTTTATTTTACAAAATTTACTTTGCCTCTGCAATATTGTCTCGTCTTATTTCAATCCATAACAACTCAAACATAATTTGGCAGCAAAGAAAAAAGGTGTCAAATCATATGCAGATATATTTTGATTTGAAAAATACAGTATTTCAGAGTTGCATGTTTGATTCTCTGCTGTGGTCCTTTATTTGCTATAGTTTGCTGAAATCACAGTGAGAACATATAATCATCACATCAGTCCACAAACCTAATAGAAAGGAAGGTATTACACATTCTCAGGTGTTCTGCATTATTGTGACTTTCCTTAGAAATAACTGAGTCAAATATCTTCATAGGTTCATTTATTCACTTGCTGTTGTATATGCAAGAGGAATTCATAATATGAAAATGCAGATTCTGTTCTATCTTCTACCATGTTTTGAAGGAAATTTGCTTTCATTGGACTCTCATCCCTTAGGAATAAAAGAAATATATTTATATACATTAGATAAAATGTAATAGTAAAATAAACACTGGATTTGTCACAAAGCTTTTGACATACATTTTATTAATAACTAACAAAGCATCATTTAGTAATGTTTGAAATTCCTTTTTTTTTATACTAGAGGCCTGGTGCATGGATTCATGCACTAGTGGAGTCCGTCAGCCTGGCTTGGGCCCTCTCACAATCTGGGACCCATCAGGGGATGTTGGATAGCCAGTTTTGCCCCAATCCCTGCAGGCCCAATCCAGACAGGAGGGAGCCTGATCCCCGCGGAGTGGGCCTAAGCCAGCAGGTGGACATCCCTCAACGGGTCCTTAGTGCTACTGTGGAGGCAGGAGAGGCTTCCCCCACCACCACTGCATTTGCCAGCCATGAGCCCGGCTTCTGGCTGGTCGTTCCGCCATTCAGTCAATTTGCATATTAGGGTTTTATTAAAGAGGATAGATAGAGTCTTCTAAATGGTTTGCTTAAGGAATAGGATATATATATGTCAAAACAAGTACTTGCAAGGCCAAATAAACTGGTTCATAGTAACAAATGAAAGATTCAACTTACCTTATTATATAAAGTATTGGGAAAAATGGTCTTTGTTCTCTAAGCCAAGATATGAAAGCTATTGTTCTGGCAGATTCTGGGGTATCAAGGTCCGGAAGGTCTGTCTGTTAAACAAAGGCCAACAATATCCCACTTACTCTAATCATATCTAATGTATCATCTACAGTGATTCTCAAATTTTATCATGTATAGTAGTGCCCCCCTCACCCATGGAAGATACATTCCAAGAGCCCTAGTTGATGCCTGAAATCATGGATAGTACTGAACCCTATGTTTTTCCTATACACACACACATATATACATACATACATACATACATACCTACCTTTTCACTTAAAGTAAGCACTTTATGGCTATCTTTGGCATATCCAAATTTCCAGCATCACTGCCCTTGCATTTTGGGGTCATTACTAAATAAAATAATGAGCTACTTGAACACAAGCACTCTGATACCTGGACAGTTAATCTGATAGTTGATACAGTTGCCAAATGACTAATGGGCAGGTGGTGTATAGTGTGGTTACATTGGAAAAAGGATGATTCACATCCCTGGCAACAGAGAGGGATGGTGTGGGATTTCATCACGCAACTCAGAACAACACACAATTTAAAACTTATAAATTGTGTATTTCTGGAACTTTCTATTTAATATTTTCAGACCGTGTTTGACAGTGGCTAACTGAAATTGCGGAGAGCAAAACCATAGGTAAATGGGGGACGGCTGTATATGAATCACCTGGTGGTCTTGCTGAACTGCAGATATTGATTTAGGAGGTCTGGGGAGGGGCCTGAGATTCTGCACACCACAATTTCCTTGTAAGGGTTGGGCAAACTTCTTGAAGAGCCAGACAGTACATACTTTAGGTTTGCAGGTCATTTAGTCTCTAATGCAACTATTCAACTCTGCCATTGTTCCACTAAAGTTGCCATAGACAATACATAGTG